AATTAAAGTTAGTTAAAGTTGTCTGATTTGGATTCTGAAAAAATATTTGAATTCAGAGGGAAAATGTCTGGAGATCGTTCAAAATATTTTCCGTTTAAAATATTAATTTCAATTTTAATTATGATTCCAAAAAGTTCATATATTCAAGTTTTCAATTACAGTTTACAATAATATAAAATTTAGTTTTTAAAAAGCGCTTCTTAGGATCTATAGACAATTTTCTGGTGAGTTCAAATTTTTTTTTCAGAATCAAAATCGAACAACGTTATTATAACTTTAATTTTGTCAATACTTTTAGGTCTTTCAGCTAAAATTGACGGCAGTAGCGAGGCTCCTCAATATTAAATATTAATTAATTATTTACCTACCATAATTTTCAATTATATTAGTTACATACTTCAGAAACTATTACTCGTTCAATTTTTGTTGGTTCTGTTTGAAAAACTGAAGTTTGTACTTGGTATACATTTTTATCGCCACAGGAGTGCAAGACACTAATTAAATTACTGAAACATCAAAGTTAGTATTTCTAAGGAAAAATGAGTGAGCACCGAGCATACTCGGTGCATGGCAGAGGTGGCTCCAGAGACATGGTTAGTAGGGCCAATTCATAATTTTCAGACAATTTCGATGATTTTTTTTTTAACAGTATAAATTTGTTTAGAAATACAGCTTGGGGTGGCGGCCCCTGGGCCCCTCCCCCGGTGAATGGTGATCCTGTACATATGTATTATGTTATGTACACGAGGGAAAGAGAAACCATCAAATATCTTACATTATACTGTTATGTATTAATGTATTATTATGATACAAGTTTTTTTTTGAATATATTTTAAACAATCGTTTTATCAATACGAGGGTACCGCCGCATTGCACACGAATATAGGCCATCCGATATTGTAATATACTTCATATTATTATAATAATAATAATATGGTCCGGGTTCTTATAATATACGTATCGCGTCAGACCTCGGTCGGGGTTGCCGAGTGTTTGAGGGATGGATAGGGGGGTGGCAGAGTCGCGAATTCTTCGGCGGGTGGACGAGTTTTCTCGAGACGAAAATCCACTGCGGTCGTACTTATATACACTGCACGCATACATATGCGGAATACGCATTTATTATTTGCTGCCGAGTGCACACGCGCGTACGTATATATAATACAATATAATATATATGCACACGTATTATACGGCCGATTTTTTATGTTATTCGCATCCGAGCGGTGGAATGCGTGGGCCGAGTTGAAAATTGTTGGGGACCGAAAAGATAATATAATAATAATATAATTAAGACGCGAGCGCGTTCGGGCGGGGGCGCGCGGCGAAGTTCTCCGAAGGGGATATTATATAATATTGTTTTATACACGCACACACACACACGCACACACACACATACACACACACACACACATTTATATATATATATATATATATATTATAATACGTTTCGGGTCTCTGTAGCAGTGTATATATAATATAGCTATATAGCTGCAGAGCTTCAGCTTCAGCTTACTGGCAAAGTCGGCTCCGCGGACTTGATTGCGTACAAAGAATCTTGAATGTATATACGGCAAGCTCGCATTGCATGTAAATGATGACGTAATGAATACGCGTGTATAATATATTTGCGATTAACTGCTGCAGCGAGGATCGTCGTGTCGTAAATATGGCCCGGAACCGGAGACTTTGGCGAATATTATAGGCGCATAATAATATTATACCAGTGTTGGGGAAGTTACTTATTTTTGGTAATTAAATTACATTACTAATTACTTATCAAAATTGTAACTAAATTATTTTTAAGTTACTTTTTTTTAATATGGTTAAGTTACATTACTTTTGAGTTTAAAAAGTAACTGAATTACAATAGAAGTTACTTTTTTTCAAAAATATCACTGGAGCTTAATAATCATGTTGTCAATATAACAATACATAAACTCAATAGGTAATACCAATCAAAAATATGAAATTATTAGCAGATACTCATTTTGCTACACTATTATTATTATTATTATTTTTATTGAACTTAAGCCCGGAAACTATGGCCATAAGCTGTTGTAGGGGATTTTAAACTGTGGTTGGTAAATTTGGTATGGTAAGGTGTTGTTACGGTATGTATGTAAACACGTGTAAGTGTGGCAAGGTTTTTACTACTACGAATCCGGGTGGTCACCCATCCGGGAACTAGTAGCAGCGGGCGCAACTTACTCTCAGTCGTATTGCGCGACTGGTAGCTAGCAGCCAAGCCACACATTTATTTATTAATTATTTTTTTTTTATATTAACTAACCCGCAGCAATTGGGTGGTTTTTAACTGAGATGGAGGGTATGGTAGGTTTTTGTAAACACGTGTGTTTTAGCTTGAAAGAATTTCAAATTGGGCACCTGTAGTCTGCCCGTTACCGAGATTCCAACCAGCTACGGTGCGCGTTGCCACCAACGCCTTAGTCCGCTTGGCCACTCCGTCACCCTCACTTTTATTATTATTACTATTTATTGATACTTCCAACAATGCTGTATACGCAGACGCTGACGCCGTGAGCCGTCCGCGACGATACAACACAGAGTACAGAGTAAAGATAAGAATTCCATTCTAAAAGTAACACTTTACAGTCGAACTGCGTCAATAGCTATAACAAAAATAGTACCTACAGTTCATACAATTTTACCTATAAATTAAAATACTAATAAGTTATATTATGATATATTTTAATATTTACGATTTACCTACACACAATATTATCAATAGGTACGTTCTAAAAAATGTATTAATCCAAAAAAAAGTAACGAGTAATTTAGTAAAAATTACTACAAAAAAGTAACTTAAATTACATATAAATTACTTACAATAAAATGTAATTAAATTACCATCAAATTACTTAAAAAGTAATTTCGTTACAGTAACTTGTAACTTAAGTTAAGTTACTCCCCAACACTGTATTATACCTACACCTGTATATATCATGCAATATTACAGACCCTAAAGACAACGACCGTTTCCGAGTACCTATACATGTTGTCATTGCGAAGCGATTCGTCAGACGCTTATTTCGCTGCTCTTGATATAGGTATCAATCATACAAAAAAAATGGATCCTGCTCGATCGGGAATCACCTAATCGGGCTGCAGCCGTTGGATGATTTACACAAATAAATGCTTTTAAATGTTACATATTTAATTGGTTTTCATTTGATATCATTATATTATTGATTGTTATTGATGGACGCGGCAACACGTTATAGTGAAAGATTAATTTATGTGGCTTGTGAAAATCATGACTTTACTGGGCACCGGTCCAATGTGCGACCTACAACTGATAATTGACCTATCCTTATTTTTGCCGGGCTAATGTGCGACCTACGGCCAATGTGTGTATTTTCATTAATGCCTATAATTAAAAATGAAGTAGAACTAGGAAGTATAATCCATAGTGATGAATGGAGAGCTTATCATCATTAAACAATGAAGGGTACAGTAAGTACTGTGAATCATCAAAAATGGTTTATTGATCCTGATACAAATGCCAATACCCAAACCATAGAATGTTTGTGGAAAATAGTGAAATAGCGATATGAAATAAGAGTAAACGGCGCATCTCCATTATTGCCGAGACAACTTAAAGAGGAGTGGTGGAGATCACTTCACCCAAACAAGCAAACTATATTTGACGAATTTTTTATTAGACATGAAAGATGTTTTTATGACATAAATTATACATAAAATTACGATGAATTCTTATCAAACAAGAAGGATAATTAATTATAAAATAATAATTTTAAATGAATTAATAACTATAATAACTATTAATATTTATAAATTTAAAGGATAAAATAATTAATTAATTAATAACTATTAAAAATGCAGTATAGGTCAATACCTATATGTAGGTAATACCTATATGTAAGTCGCACACTGGGCCGAAAATGTATGTGTAGGTCGCACATTGGACCGGTGCCCTTTACTGTACAGGTATACCTTACCTTCGGTTTTATTTTGTAAATATTTCATTGAATGAGGTTAGTTAATATTTGCATAATTATATTCAATTGTATACAACTCCTTGTCCCCAAAAAGCAAAAACTTGTCATTATTTCATAATTCTTATTGTTATGTTTAGATATATTAATATATTATTATATTGTATATATTATGAAATGAAATAAATACATTTATTATTATAATAACTGATGTAAATATCTAAATTTTTTTATCGACATTTAAAGAAACAAAAGGTCTAATGTCTATAAATATTACAAAAAGTTTTAAAATATTTTAAAAATGTACAGAAAATGATAAAATAAATATTATTTTGGTGAAAATTCTAAATATCTATGGTTAATGGTTATTACTTATTTGTTGTTGAGTTAAACCATTTGGGTTAATTTAATGATAACACCGCCTTATGCTTTGATTATTCCGTAATAGTTGAAAGATAAACAAGTAAATAAATAAATATTAGAAAAAAACTTTGGCTGAGATTGCTCAATCAAACAGCATTATAAAATATTTTTTAAGGAAGAGTAATTCGATAGAATGGACAGAAATTGGTGAATGTTTTGATTTGTAAAAGCATTATATTTATGGTAATCAGTTCATATTATTGTATATAGGTAACCAATTATACTATAGTAGTTATATAATATATAATTGTACAAAAATAATCAAATTATATGTATGATTAATAATAACAATAATTTATCATAAATTCATAAAATATAATAGAAATGTTAAAAAAAAGTAATAATAAATAATATTGTAATAAAGGTATCTAAAATTATTAAATGGAATTAAGTGAAATAAAATAATGAATACAATAATAAACGAATACATGCAATTATGTAAATATTTTAAAGCCATGTTGGATTATTATTTAGAGTAGAAAATTGAACAGTAAAATATTAAATTGAACAATAAGTTACATTTAGAGTACCGTAATAAATACAACAAAATGACCAAGTGGTGTGGTCACAATGCAGACGGATTTTACTCACTACTCTTTAGCCGCCTTGCAGAACTTGGAAACAAGACACACACACTCTTACAGCTTTCACTAGCCCATACTTTATGATAGGAACTTCTTGACTGGAGCATTTGCTACATAATAGTCTACCACAATGACGACTAAGTAAAAAAAAAATATGATCTTAAATGAAACAAAATATACTTAAGTATGTCTGTCGTTACTTACCAATGATGCTTACGCATTGTAAAACCAAATTTCAATCCGCACTCCTGACACACTTCACATCCGTCCACCCATGGTGGCTCTTTTGTCAAACTATCAAGTAATCTAATAAAAACAAAAAGTAAATAATAATAATTGAAAAACAAAATTAAAAAAGAAAAAAAAATTGTTTACCTAAACAACAATTGAGTAGTAGCCATTTGACAGTTAAATATTGTGATACCATCGTTATTCATCGCTCCAACGCAAGCACCAGCTTTTACTAAAGTCCTACACAAATTTCCATTGCCTTTTATGTACGCCAATAGTAATGCTACAACATTTTTAAAGCATTAATATTTTATCATTTTTTAATTCTATTCATCAACAATTATTTTCATACCTGTATTTCCCTCAGCATCTTGTACCTCAAGAGGGTATTTTGGCATGTACTCAAGAAATACTTCACATATGGCTGCCGAACTTTCCTTACTATACTTGGCCAGTTCATGAAGTGGATTTCGACCCTTCAATGTCAAAGCTTCAGCATTGATCTCAGATTCGCCCAGTAAAGTTTGAACCACTTGTAAGTGACCCTCGCGGCAAGCAATATGCAATGCATTTTGACCTATGTAGGAATATCAAATGCTATAAATATGCAATATCTACATTTTAATGAAACATTTAAGAAAATGTTAACTCATAAATGTGTTGTTTTCCGTCTATCTTACTAACGCATAACATACCAAATTATATGTTCAGCATTTATAATTTTGCGTTGTGAGCTTAAATATTTGAGTTCTAAAGTTGGTTTTTAAGGATATTTTAATTTTTAAACGAGTTATAAACAATTTTAAATACTAATATTATAAATACTCATAACTTACTTAAAAACTAAAATATCGCAAAATCAAACAAGAGAACACAAATTATGTTTTTACCTTTATGTTTCATAAAGTTTAATTCACTCTAATATATTTAAAAACGCAAAATTTGAACTGAGGAACGTATATTATGGAGTGTTTTGCAATAGTAAGACAGAGAAACCACATTGGTACATTGATGCTCTTAATATTTGTAAATAATACGTATTTACTGACCTTCACAATCAACTGCATCAAAATTAGCATTATTATTTAACAGCGCGACCACAATTGAAGCATGTCCAGCTTCACTAACTACATGCAATGCTGTCCTCTTCATTGTGTCTTGATCGTTTACCTAATGTACACAAATAGTTATAGTAAATATGATAAAAAGTTTTAGAAATATGTGATGAATTAGATGAATATGTACCCTGGCGCCAGCTAAAATGATACTGCGCACTAACATTTCATTGCCCGTTGCAACTGCTAAATGAAGTGGGGTAGTCTGTAATTCGTTTTGAACTCTTGAGTTGACGTCTACACTGACCGATAACAAGAACAAGACACTTTCAATGTCACCTTTTTGGATAGCCATGTGCAAAAAGTTGCATCCCTTATTATCAAACTTGGAGTAGAAATATTGTTAGAACATTTGTTACAGATTTTAGTTTTTATATAGTTTACTTGTTCTGCGGCTGCTGGTAACTTATCCAATATTGATCGAGCTGCTTTGTCGTTACGACATGTCAGAGCGGCCGCAAATGGAGTCAGACCAGTGCGATCTCTCTTAGTAAGATCAATGGACGGATGACAGAGTAGTAATGTTATAATACCTGCATGCTGGTTTTTAATTGCCACATGAAGTGGAGTTTTATGCTCTGCATCCTGCAAATCAAATTTAGTATTAGCGTACATAAAACAATAGTTTAATTATATTGTTTAAATTTAATGTGAAATCCCTGGTTAAATTCTAAATCTAAAGAACAACTAAAACTAGAAGTATTAAGATTCTAGTTCTAAAACTAGAATTATTAAGATTCTAGTTTAAATTTATATTAATAATTAAAAAATTAATTTGTAACCATAGACGCCCGAGGGAGAAAAGTTAGGATATTTGCTCCTGGGATTTTTGGAAATTTATTTTAAATTGAGTGTACGGTAGAAAATTAATGTATAACAAATTGAAAGTGCAATATACTAAAAAAAAGATCATCATTGTAAAAAATACTGTTAAGCCAAGTTAACAAAATATATTATTTTGTATAAACGAACTTGATCCATCCCCCTAGAAAATGTTCAGTGGGTGCCTACATTTATCATGGTCAATAGATTAATAAGAAGGATGTAAAAACTAAAACTTAATATACGAGTATTCAGTAATCATTAAATTTGTTTCTCGATTATTTTAATAGCAAAAATAGTATCTACGTTATATAAAATAATTAAAACCTAATACCAATATTAGGGACATGCAACCCAGTATTTAGCACTAGTAAATTATAAATTTTCACCAGTGAAATGCACTGCTAACAATATATTATTGCATGAGACATAAAAGTTTTAACAAAAAAATTGATTTGTTTGTTTTTACCACGTTTTATTATTTGATCAAGAACGATGCACGTGTACCAATACAGACACAAGTTAAATGTTCAACAAATATAATACATTTGAAATATTTTGTTAAAAAAATTAATTTGTTTAAAATAAAAATATAAATTCAAATCTATATATTGTGTTTTATTTGATTGAATATCTCCTTTTATGTCGTAAGAAAATATTTGGGATACAGGTGTAGACTCCCCCCTCTATATTTTATACTATTTAATATTTATATTATATATTATTTTGGCACAGTTAATTTTTTATTCTCATTGAATTACTCTGACTAAACCTAGATACTTTGTATTTAACTATTTAAGTACAATGCATATAAAAATGGGTGCTAATTCGGTATGCGCTCTACCGGTTTTGGTGTTCTACACTCGGTCTACGTTCGGTACGCGGATATTGGACTGCAATTGCTGTATATGCGTTATCTTCCTCGTTTTTATATAATATGTTGGGTATTTCCTTCAACTGTTAATAATCTTGATAATCTCTAATTGGCCCCCGGGTATTTGGTTTAAAAAATGGAAATGATTGCCGTTATTTTTATGTTCATCGACGCAATCGAGAAACACTTCTACCAATAATTTGAATGTGAATGCGAGGCAGGATCGGAAATTCATTCCGATGAATGGGCTGCATATAGGTGTCACAATGCGAGGTTTTGTACACAAGACAGTAAATCACCAAATCTCATATGTCGATGGAAATACAGGAGCCCACACTCAAAACATTGAGAGGTCATGGTTGGACGCGAAAATTAAATTATTAATAGATTAGAAGACATTCAGATCGTAAATAATCGTTTTTGAATTAATATAAAATAAAACGACGTATGATGACTGTAGATCATACCGACTCAGACACTTTTTGGTAGAGCACATACCGAAACAAAAACTTGTAGGTAGAGAGCATACCGAATTAGCACTTAAAAATGTGTACAATTTTAATTTATATTGTTCACTTTTAGTTTTTTCTATAATATATTTTAATATTGCGTCTACAATAGAAATAGAAATTTAAATGTATGCAAGTAATGTCTGTTTTATCACAAGAAATAAAAACATTGAGTGTATGGATATTTTCAACAATGAAAATGTAATCAAGTGATTTAAATTTCAGAATTTTAATGATGGAAAAATTACATTTGCTTGATTGTTATGTGAATATCAGTTGTTTGATTTTTAAATTATTATTTTAGTAATGTATTTATATTTACCCAAGCATTGACATTGGCACCGTGTTCTAACAATGTTTGAACTACACTTTGCAGGCTCCAATGACAGCATAAGTGCAATGGAGATGATTGATCCTTTGACTCATCTCCACCACGACCACCCGGTCCTGGCTTACGTGGATTATTAATATCACAGCCGCTATATACATATATTTACAAATATACAAATATATTATATTGTATTTAATACAATATACAAATATTTAAACATTGTAAGTTACAAATATAAGCAAAATTATATGATTTTACCTTCGAATAAGAAAACGAGCAGCACTTTCAGAATTTTCATCAATTGCTCGATGCAGAAGGGTTTGCAGACATCCCTCTGGCCCTTCACTCCACGAATCGGTGTCAACACCATACCTTAAACCAGCACAAGTGTCATGTATAATTGTGATCAAATTTGATTAACAGAAACCAGACTAATTACTTGACAAGCGTAGAAGCAATATCTTCTTGATTGGAGGTTAAAGCAAGCCATAGTATAGGGTCACCATTTGACGATGGTACTGCCATATCAACACCACGTTTGCATAATTCTTCAACCACAATATTCTGGCCATTGATTGTAGCTAGTTCCAATGGTGTTTGATCATCTTGTGTTCTACAATCATAATATTGTGTAGTTCATCATTTTATCATATTAGTTACATTATAAAATGTATTTGGCTTACTTAGCATCAAAGTTTGATCCTTGTTTCACTAAATACAAAGCAGTTTTTTCATCACCTTTCAATATTGCTTGATGTAGAAGTGTCATACCTTCACCATTCCTCATGTCAATATCAGCACCACCTGTTTGAGCAATATTACTATATAGTTGTGATAATGGCTGAAACTGTTAATTAATGTAATAATAATCATTAAGTTTACCAGCAATGAGATCAGGTACAATGTGTTGCATGTCACATTTTAATGCCAATGATAAAGGTGTATCTCCTAGTGAATCGCGTAGATTCAAATTTACCATAGACAATCCATCTTTGGGTTCAGCAGTGACAGTATCTAAAATTTAAACCATAGTCAATAGTTTATTTTATCAAGGGGACGAAAATATAAAAATAATGATTATCTCACTGTGGTGGTGTAACATGGCATTCACGGCACCCTCCTGTTTGTTAATTATGGCCACGTGTAATGGCGAAAGTCTGTACGAGGTCTGAAGACCATCATCCGTGCTCAATATAACACCATCGGGTGGTAATGTTTGTAAATTTGGGTTCGCTCGAAACTCAAGTAAACGTCGAACGAGACGTGACAGTCCTCTTTTGCACGCGATATGTAATGCGCTTTCTCCCTAAAAGCATAACAATCAAACGTTTTCAACATACAAGAAACTTCAATAAAAAAAAAATTGATTTCCTTACTAGTTTGTTTGTGTAGTTAATGTTATTGCAACGAGCCGTAATGAAGAGAGCCGCATCTTCGAGACTCTCGTCGGAGACGATGTGCAACATAGAATTGGACGTCTTCTTGTAAATCTAAACAAAGTTAGGAAAGCGAAATAAGTTTAACTCCTCGTGTTGAGAATACGACAACGATAACTACTCACGGGATTGGGATTCGCCCCGGCCGTCACCAAACGGTTGGCGAAGCTGTCGTCGGTGTCGAGCTTGGGCGTGTGTATCAGCGCATAGTACAACGGAGTGTGGTCGTCGACTGTCTGAGCGTTCAAGTCGATCTTGCTCGACCGGGCGTGTTCGTCCAACAAGAGCGTCAGTATGTCGTCGTTGTGCACCAACACGGCCAAGTGCAAAGGAGTGCTGAAACGAAAAATTAAAATCAAAAAACGGCCGTTGGAAATAATTAAAAAGTTAAAAAGGTTGCAACCCCCCCCCCCATTTTATTTCCATACTATCTCCACTACCCAGGGAATAAAAAACTTATTCTACATGGAATCTCTAAAGACCTCAAAGTGTAATAATAGCACATTTTATTGTTGGATTTTGTTAATAAATAATTATTGATGATAAAAACGAGTAAATCTCTGCGGCTGTCATTAATAATATATCTATATATGTATGTAGTATGTGTATATTATAGGTACAGAACTGGGCACACTCACAATCCCTGGCTGTTGGGTAAGTTCGGATCCAGACCGGAGTCGAGCAGCGACCGGGCCACGGCCGTCATGGCGGTGGCTGCAGCGGCGGCGGACGTTGGTTCGTCCGGCGACCCGTAGTGCTGCGGCGTCGAGCTGGCGATCAGGTGTAGCGCCGTGTCGCCCTGATCCGGCGTCACCGAGCTCACGGAAGCGCCGTGCGCCAACAGGAAGTTGGCGGCGTACGAGTCTCCCCTCTGCACGGCCAGATGGAGCAGAGTATATCCGGTCCGGTCGCGGGCGTCCGGATCCGCCTCGTTCTCGCACAGCATCTCCGCGATGCTGGTCTGGTGGTCGCGCAGCGCCAGATCTAGCGCCGACTCGCCTTTGTTGTCCAGCCCGTTGATCTTGACGCTCAACTGTAACGAGTACAATATGTCAAGATATATATATATTATACGCATGGTATGGGTAGGAATAATTCCGGCCATTCGACGTAAGACATTCTCATTGTTTCAGAAAACAACAACGTTTTTGAAAATATTTCTTTTTCGTAATACATTTTAAGTTATATGTAACAATATGTTTCGTTATTATATTTAAGTTTTTACTCCCTTGAATGACAGCATGCAATTTTTAATGACAAATTTCGGAGTAGAATATTATTTGGAGTATTTCTATGTTTATAAAAAACAAATTTTGAACAAGTAGGTTATTATTTATAAGGTGTATCTAATAAGCATTTAAAGTTTTGATAAGCGGAGTAGTGGACCAACATTTGTCGGTGTATACCTATATATACCACTCCACTCAGCTCCATCTAAACTTGTAACTCATAAACTACTCATCACAAATTTGGATTTTTATGCATCGAAGTAGTTACCTATACTCCTAAACATTATTCCGATTTGGAATAAAGAATTAAAAATGCATGTTGTCATAAAAAAATGAAAAATGTTTTTAACGACTTGCAACTGTGTATAAAAAAATATTTTTAAAAACAATTAATGTTTTTGAAATAATGAGTTCAGTCTTACGTGTACATGGGTATAAAAGAACCGTGCCGCGAATATATTATACAGGGAATCGAGTTGAGAGAGATGAACCTAGGAAAAACAATGTTTAATTCTCTGGAAAGCTGCATTGCCATATTAAGCATGAATGATGGGTGTGGGTGGTGAACAGTTCACCAGTTACTGGTGAGGCGTGTGCTTATATTCAAAATACACTTGTCTATTAAATATTATGTTGAACAAATATTATAATTAATAATAATACTATACGTATTAAATTTGTTTAACGTTAATAAATATTGTAACAGAGCGTGATTTGCTGAGCCATAAAATGTTCTCCCGTGGGCTGGAAATCTGTTAACTGCACTGCTAGGGAGGCTTAAGGAATAAGCTCACACAACCCTCAACCCAGAAAATTGTTCTTCTTCGCGTCACTATTATATAGGAAGATAAAAGCGAAATATATACCAACAGATCGTCCGAACATAATATTGTTCTAAAGTTTTTCGAAAACAAAACGCGAGTCTACGCATACACATCACACGATGTACTGAATCCGATCCCAACTTTATACTGTATATTATATTACTGTGTATATACTGTATTATGTATGCAACGAGTGAACAATATTATGTATATTAAAACACGTCATTACAATAATTGCATTGCAATATTAATATAAATTTCCAAATGCGCGCACCTACTTAAACACGTCTGCGCCGTGTCAACAACGTATAACGTTGTCACGATGACATATTGTTTTGTTTTAAAACAGATATCGTTTGTTGTAAAACAATAATAATATGAACTATACACATACACGGTTATATAAAATAAAAAAATACTCAAGTATACACGCTATAATAAAACTCGTCGACTTTTTTGTTCGACCTTCGAAATTGTATTACAGTGCCGAATGCCCAAAACAAGTATATAGTACGCTGTTGTAGTCGATCCGGGGCCGAATTTAAGTTATTATATAATCGTGATGGGACATGGTTATAGTGAAATTGACGATTTAAACGACAACTGAAGCAAAGACTTTTCACTGCACTCGAAATTATATCAATTTTTATAACTACATTTCTATACTATCTTAATTTTTGATTCTAAAATTATTTGCAAATCTAAATACACACCAACAATGTGGGCAGAAAATTTACAAAAATATAAAATAGATGTAATGTTAATCTATAGTATTTAATATTTATCATAGGTAGCTGGTAGGTACTTGGACCATTTTTACAAATTATAAATATTGATGGATTAATATTAATTACTAACATTTTCAATTGATCATATTCCACAGCTCCCATAATATCTTCCAAACCCATTATTATGAAACTATTATCCTTAGTTCACAAAGTTAAATAAAACAAAAAATGCATTTTTAAATTTTTATTTTGATAGGTATAGGTAGTAGGTACCTCAACATTTTCAGAAAAATGATCCAATAAGTAACTTAAAGTAAAAAATTTGGTTCTCATTTGTAAAACATAACTTTTTATCTCCACGGGACACTCCTTAAGAAGTACAAGAATCTAAAGAATTTCAAAATATGATCTTTAAATATTCTTAAAAATTCCGAAAATCAGATTTTGAATAACTGCATTATTGAAAAAAAAATGGTAGATGTTTTTGGTGAATCACCTTTTAGTATATGAAACGTGCAATTGCAATATTGCAGCATGCAAATCATTAAATTATATAATATATTACGGTATTTTCGTAGCGAACTCATTGTATGAATCATGATATATTGTATGCATATTAATTTTTATAAAAAGTGATAATTTTAAAACAGCTCGATCAACATTCATTATCTAAAAATGTGACAACTGCTATAAGAATTAATGATTTACTTATTAAGTTATAACCGAATGAACTTTCAGCTATATACCTATTGATTTAAAAATGGCAACTTAAATTTATAAGTTTTATAAGTTTTAAGAGAACTGTTCGTTCGATATTTAATATGCTATCTACATTTGATTAAACTGTCATTAAAATATTCTGGTAAAAATTATGAAATTAAAAACCAATAATGAATTGTTTCTTATTTTGTCAACATCAAACATAATATTAAAATAAGGGTACAACAAATGCAGAAAATATCAATAATTATTATCATGTAAACTTATTTTGCCAAAAAAGGTTGTACTAGTTATAGTAAAAATCACTCTGTATAAACGTGCATAATATATACGTTTCGATAAATTGCAGCAGTGCGATACTTAATACGACTAATCTTTTTCTACGTATTTCTGTATTAGGTACCTATACAATGTATATGAATTCGAAAGTGACGAAATGAATAATCGCCACATTTAATATAACTACTACAATAATCGCTGAGGTAAACTTTCGTGTTCCAAGTAGGTCTTCCAGGCTAACGGCCCCCTACTACGTTCCTCGACACACCACTAACTATGGCCGAAACCACCCTATCCACCGAATGATGCGTTTAGCAAATGAGAACCTCTCGAGTCTTTAATCTTTAGTCTTTGTTTTATATCAATATTATTATAATGTTTTGACTGTATCTTATTCCATTAACTGTACTTTGGGCTAGTCCCGTAATGTAAAATAAATAAAAAAAATAAAAAAATAATAGTATATGAAGACAGGCTATTATTACGCTGATCAGGTGCATGAGATCGAAATAACTAAACTACTAAACCACCATCAGTGAATTTCGCAAATCACCGTTTTGGCCAATATTAATTACTGCAGAGACGCTATTATTATAACCAGCATAATATAATGACGATCAACGGCCCATAGAAAGGCAGCGTAGAAAGTCCACAGTCCACAGTTATACGTAAATGCATTTTTCTCGAAAATATAATATGTAAGACGTACCTGGTACTCAAATATAACACATCAACGCTAAATCTCTAGAGATCGGCATCAAGCAGTGTCGCTTCTATAATATAGAATATATTGCACAATATTATTGTTCTGTGCTTAATGCTTGTATAATATAATGTGCACAGTTTATACACTATTTTAGTACCTACGCCTAGGGCCGAATCTTGAACTCTGAGGGCCCTGGTGCAAAAGAAAATTTAGGGACTCCCTTGAAAAACAATTCGCAGAATTATACCATTATATTTTTACTACAAATCGAATTGCATTATAAATTTAAAACCATATTTTAACATATAGGTATATTAGGTAATATGATATTTAAGAGTAATCTTAAATAATTAATAATTTATTTAACATCATTATTACATAAATATCTAAGATATTCTATTATAAGAAATATAATTTATAAAGCAAAATTGTCAATCATTTTCTCAATATTTAGATTTTTTGTTCGTTCTTTTTATATATTTGAAATTGCTATACTAGATGAACGCACTCGTCCACATGTGTTTCTTAAGTAATTTTTTATTAGTTTTAGTTAGGAAAATGATTTTTCTGCTCCAGTGATTGCTGTCATTATATAAGAAAAATAATGAAAGCTCTTAAAACGTCACTTGGGTATATATCATTCGAAAATCATTTCGACGGGTGGGCGAAGTATATACCTACCTAGCTTACGAAAAAACGATGTGGTGTTCATACAACAACAATAACAAAAACTATAGTTATTATTATTATTATTTTAAATTCTGAGCCGAGCGATGAATGGATTGATTTTTTATAATAATGTGTGCGTGTTTTCTTAAATTCATTTTTCTTCTTTTATCACATTTTGGGGCAGAAATAATGTCACCACACACAATAAACTTATACTCTCACTTGGCCAATACCTTCAATGTATTTCATTGATATTAATTGGTTCGTAACAAAAAAATTCTTGTTTAATATTCTGTGTGAGTTCCACGTGAACACGATCATGTTCAATGGGGCCATTATTCTGTTGAAATAAATAAAATCGTACTCTTTAATACGAAAAATAAGGAACAACATTTTACCGTGTAACGAAGAAATAATTTTATTATATAATCTCATGAAAACGAATGCATATAGTGCTTTACAATTTTGAATGCCGAAAGTAGCAAAAAAAAGAAATAATTTAAATGCAAAAAAAAAAGGCATCGGGCAAGACGATGCGATGTGGGGGGGGGTACGTGATGGCGAGTTGGTGGTGCTGATGATGTTGGTAACTGGTATATGGCCACTGGTCACCTCTATACAACGTTCTCACGGGCTGTCCTGCGAGGCGGACGAGAGTCGCGGGCGAGTTTGCTCGAGACCGCTAAGACGACCATGGCAGCGGACGAAGCCGGGCCACGACGGCTGCGAGAGCGACGACCGTTGGCGACGAGAGGCTAGTGCGCGATGTTGTGCGCTGCTTGACGGTACTGCGGGTGCTGAAAACGACTGCTTGTGCCGGCAACGACGGTGACCTGCAATGCTCGGAGGGGCGAGCTGGCGACTACGATCTCGGTGCAGCTGCGGAATCGGCGGCGTTGCGACTCGGGATCGGACCACTGGGC